GATGCTGTGAAAGCAGACCCAGAAATATAAGGAGGCAGCAAACTGAGGCTTTAATACGACCCCAAGCTTCGGTGACACTAGAGCGATGCAGCTCTGAGAATAATAGTCTGTGTCTCCCAAGTGTCCTGCCTAAATCCATTGAAAAAAACTACAACGGGCCGGTTCTATCGGAATCGGCCAACTAGTTCCAACATCAAGTCCCCCACCAGCAGACGGTTTCACGTCAACTACCCCACAACACTCTGAGGTTGTTAGACTCACTGTCAGTTGCCTATATAGCAATGTGAGGGGGCTGAGAGGGAAAGTAGGTGAACTCCGAAATCTCCAAGCACACCTTCAACTGAAAATAATCATTCTTACTGAAACGTGGCTAAACCCCACTATCGCCGACAATGAAATCAGTATAGGTGATATGGTACTGGTCAGGAGAGACAGGGATAATAAGGAAGGAGGGGGAGTTGCTATATACTTTGATAGGCAACTTAAATGTGTGCGCGCAACGGACCCACCACTTATCGAACTCCCAGACTCCATATGGTGTCATTTCACCGTAGGCCACACCAAGCACTTACTGGGTGGCATCTACCGATCTCCCACCTGTGGGGCAGAGCACAATCAGCTACTGCTCAGCACTATCACAGGAATACGAGATTTGGGCTACGACCAAATCACCATAGCTGGAGATTTCAATGCTCCATCACTGAACCTTGGCTCCGGGTGTGCTAAGGGAAAATTTGGCCGAAACCTACTGCAAACTATTCGAAACACGGGACTGACTGAGAATGTTGGAGACGACACTAGGTGGGGCCCTAGTGGAAAGTCATCAAAACTAGATTATATTCTAACTAGTGACCAGCTACTCGTCGAAAAGGTCCAGATCATGACTCCTCTGGGAAGCAGTGACCATGCAGTCATAGGTTTCGATCTTGTCCTCCGTGAGCGTTTGCAATGGGATGTTACGCGACCATGTCTGTGCTACAGCAAGGCTGACTATGCTGAAATGCGGAGGCTCTTGTCCGACGCAGACTGGCCCTTAGCATGGGACGACCTATCTGTGGATGAACACTGGGAAGTGGTAAAAAAGATTATCCATGCAGCAATCTCGGATACCGTCCCTTTAGTCACAACACAGCCTAAGAGAAAGACGTCATGGTTGAAGAGAGGCACGCAACGTATTCTGCAAGCAAAGCGGAGGGCTTGGTTTACGTGGCGTGTATCTAAGAGTCAGACCGACCATGATGCATACCTCGAACTCAGGAACCGGTGTAATGCAAGAGTTAGGAGGGACAGAAGGTCATTCCAGGCTAACCTTGCTAAAAAACTCCTATCAAACCCTAAAAACTTGTACCGATTCATGTCGGAAAGAAAACCGACAAACCAAGGGGCATGCGCCTTAGTAGGCCCAAACGGTCAATATCTCACTAGTCTGGAGATGGCTGAAACATTCAGTTCAGCCTTCGCTAAACAGCTAAACAGCAATGTGGATATTACAGTTACGGACCAAAATGGTGGCACCACTATTTCAGAGGAGGAAGACCTAGCGACTACTCCCCAAATAAACCCCGCAATAGTACTAAGGAAGCTACAGCGACTCATACCTGGGAAGTCCCCAGGTTGTGATGACATCAGGCCATCTGTTCTGAAACAGTGCGCCGAGGCTCTCTGTAGACCCCTGTGCGACTTGTTCCAACACTCAATGGATTCGGGGACCCTGCCAAGGGAGTGGAAAAGAGCCATCCTTTCTCCAATCTTCAAGGGTGGGGACAGGCAAAACGCTGCTAGCTATAGACCAGTAGCTCTACTCCCAGTGGTATCAAAAGTACTGGAAAGTATTATTGACGACCACATCAGGGAATATTTCGATAGGACTAATATACTGCATGAAGCCCAACATGGTTTCAGAAAAGGCAGATCCTGCGTCACTAACCTACTGTCAGCTTGGGACGACTGGACATCATGCTGGGACTTGAACGTACCAGTCCATGTGGTCTTCCTAGACTTTGAGAAGGCATTTGACACTGTTCACCATGACCTTCTCCTACATAAAATAAGCCAGGCAGGCATAGGTGAGCCACTTCTGTCATGGTTGAAGGACTACCTAGCCGACAGGCAATTTTGCACTAAGGTTAACCGAGTCCGATCATCTTGGCACAGATCGTCATCAGGAGTGTCGCAGGGTTCTATCCTAGGACCACTGATGTTTTTGATTTTCATCAATGATCTACCACGCCGTCTGAGCTGCCCGACTCTCCTGTACGCTGACGACGTAAAAATATGGAGGGCGATAAAGTGTCCGGAGGACTCAGATAGGCTACAGGAAGACCTAAACCTTCTGGAAGACTGGGCGGTGGCCAGTGGCATGACTTTCAACTTGAAAAAGTGCAAAGTAGTGAAGTTGCGCACCTGTAGACTGCAGAATGCAAGTTACACCCTGTGCAATGAAAGCTTGTCCTGCACAACGTCGGAACGCGACTTAGGTCTAGTTCTAACGGAAAAAATGGACACAAGCGTAAATTACACAGGGGATGTAGCGAGGGCATATGCGGTCATACACTTTACGCATAGACAGTTAGGTGCACTCACTCCTGAGCTCTTTCTAATGTTGTACAAAACATACGTCAGGCCACACCTTGAGGTGCATAATATTATTGCACCCCCAATGCTGAGAAGAGATGCCAACCTCTTGGAAAGAGTCCAACGACGGGCAACAAAAGGAGTGGTTGGTCTCCGAAACAAACCATATGATGAAAGGCTGAAGAAATTAGGCCTGTTCACACTTAGTTACCGTCGGCTTAGGGGGGATTTGATTACTGCCTACAAAATAACAAATGACCAGAATCACCCAAACAAAGGTGTTCTGCCATTGAGTAGGTATAGGCTTCCACGTGGAAATCCCAGAAGGATAGCTCACCAGAGGGCAAGGACCCGGGTGCGCTCCCACTTCTTTTCACTGCGGGTTTGTCGTCCCTGGAATTCCTTACCGGCAGATGTAGCTATGGCACCGTCTTTGGACGCCTTTAAGCGAAGGCTGGACAACCATGCAGCGATACAAGGACTGCATCCAAATGGCCTATCTCCTTAAAATCGCATTTACCAATCAGGGTAGATAATTAAACTCGTCATTTTACTTCTTTACATTCTCTCCCGTCTTACTCTCCTGACAACTTATTAATATTATAATTACTATTATTATTATTATTACTATTACCGATATATATATTATTCTTCAAACTTCATGAGCTGACTGTTGTTACGTTTCCTATTTTCGTTTCTGTCTCTTAGTCTGAATAGCTTCACTAATTATATCTATTATTATTATTATTATTACTATTATTATTACTATCTCTTTTCTCTTGTCGACAATACCGAAGGACTAACTGGCGAAAGGATCAACTCCAATCACAGTAGTAACAGTCTTAACATACCTCATACTACAAACCACATATAATTAATCCCAGCACTACTCCCTTTGGAGTCAACCAAAGCTACGACAGTCGAGTGGCGGGACAAGCTACGCAGAAGTTTACCGAAGATCAAGAACCTATACCTCACAATCAAGAAGCGAGCACAAAGAAATCAAATTGGTTTATACTAGCTCGTAAAAACGATATTGGATATTGGACCTGGTGGTAGAAACTTTCGAAACAAATGAAATAACTAATTTTACCAGCAACGGAAACAAAAATTAGATGAAACACAACATTTGTGAACAATGCGCATCAAGATAAGTTGTGAGTAAATACAGGATAAACGGGAAAACCGATGTGTAAACGAACGGCTACGGAAATGCAATCCAACATGGCCGACTTACATGGGCGAAAATGACCTTTGAGTGTCTCACGCCACCAATGACCTTGAGCATGCGGGATAATTTCAGTCTATGATGTGATGCATAATACTGTTGGTTATGCACGTAGATCGTTAAACGGGCAATTAAGTTCCGGATATTTATCAACAATCGGTTGGAAAGTTGGACCAAAGATTGCCTTCTTCTTAGCGAGTGACAAGCTACGGCCTACGTAGTTGATGCCTTTAATAGACAAACTAGTAGTACAGTCTATCAGTCATTTTTGGCGGACGTCTACGAGTAAACTATGATGTTTAAGTAGGGCTGTGCCAGTGATGGGCATTGTGATGTCAGCGAGAGGGAAAATGCAACAAATAAGTTTGCGCAAACCTACGTTCAGATAGACGTATTTCCTGCCAAAGTTTGCAATTACTTTTCCATTCTCAGCCTGTAAGTCGAAGGTAGGTTCCCTCTGTCAATCTGCCGCTGTAGCAGGAAGGACGCTGACTTCGGCGCCTGTGTCGACTTAATATCGAGTCTGGCTGATCACATCATGGGTGTAAAGTAGGCGACTACTGCCACCGGCGACGGTTACCGCTAACGCGTTCTGGCGGGATAGTTTCCCACAGTCCTTGAGACATTGCCGAAATTACAAGGTTTACGGCAACATCTCGCTTCCTGGCTACACGTATTGTGATAGCAACATCAGTCAGGGTTTTTAAGTAAGTGTGGCTTGAGTTTAGACCGACCACGTGGGTTTCGCCGTTGAGTGGGTTCGGACGACGAAAGGAGGAAATACGAGGTTATTTGACCTAAGTAGCCGCTGGACGGAGTTGCATAACTCTATCACTGCAGTGTTCCTGTTCGGCAACTGAGCATACCTTAGTGACTATATATATATATATATATATATATATATATAGACTAAGTCCGTATAAACTAGGGGAAAGACATCATCAAAATTCAATATTCGATAACTTTATTTTATATAATACACTGAGATACAGAATTCATAACTTCATGACAGTTTAAGGGAAATTTATTGCCCATAGTCATTTCGATGTACTGAGGCGCTTAAATTCTGCAGTGACACCTTCAAAAGCATTTACTTCATGAATTACCATTCATTCTGCAAATTCTTCATTTTTTAAAGACTTTTTTCTCAGACCATTTTCAACTATCAATTCTGGAAAAAAAGAAATAGTGAAAATATCTTCAGTCGTCTTAATACATAAAAATTTACAACGAACCCCTTAAATGTAACCTTACTTAACCTGCTAAAATTTGATTTTGCGGAAGTCATGTGGATTGCTTCGAAGTATGGAAAATTTCCTTTGTGTTCTTAATCTTATGGATTTGGCTGATTTCGAAACTAAAACTGACTACTTTTTACAAATATCCTTTAAAGACATACATACAATGTTCACCTGTCTCATATTCGTTATCATTTTGGGGAGTCTAAATGTTGTATGTGAAGATCCTAAAACAATGAAGGAGTATAAAATCTTGAAAGGGAATGGTGCAGTTTTGTTGTTATGTGCTCTTATAGTCACAGAGGATTGCAAACGTTCGACAAAATTCCGTCATAGGGGTATACTCAAATATCCTCAGGCCATTAGTATTTTTTCTGTGCTGAGACCATAGCCATTAGTAAAGTGAAACTCTAAAAATGTGTGAAAAAAATTTATTTTTAGAATTAACCAGATTCGGTATCTTCTATCTGATTGTATTACTAAGAGAATTATCCCCCTTACTATAAAATACTACATTATTTAAACTGACTTTCCATTTCTTCATTTTCATACGATTTAACTTGCACATAGAAGCCTGATCGGATACTTCAGAAAGTATTGAAAAACACACTAATTTTTTCAGATAAACTTGTTCACGTAACGCTGTCTGAACATCTGTTTAGCGGATACCGTGAGTCAAATCCCTCCCTGAGCATCAGACCCCTTGCATAGGTCTTTTGAAATTCATTATCGGTCATTTTCACTACAACTCAACAACAAAGCTAAGTTGAATTAATTTTGATTAGATGAAGATAACTTAAGTGTAATTCTGACTGATGAAATGAGTGTTAAATGAAATAGGGATTCGTTTGTCTAATTTACAGAAGTGCGCTATGTCATTAGTAACGAATTATTAAGGATCAAATGTGGTAAATAATTTGCAATTAGGTTGTTAGTGGCTTAGCGTTTTAATGTTTGCTAACATTCTATTTCTTTTCATACAGCAAGCATAACGCACAGTGTGAAAATTCAGTTTTATTTAAAAAAAGCAAAGTATTGAAAAATTTTTTGCATCAACTTAAGTAAACTGTTTCACACTCCGTGTGTAATGACAACCTAATTATAGTAATGACTATATATATCATTGGTAGAGAATACATGCCAGACAAATAAAAATGCAAAGGTGAATAAACAAACCAGTTTTATTAACTTAGATGTAATCATCTGCCACACTATTTAGAACGAAAATAAAGTGTGTTTGCTCAATTCATTCAATTATAATGGTGGTTACAGTTTTATTTGCTTTGAAATATACTATAAATATGCATATACGGGAAAGAAAACACCATTATACCTAATGAACATGATGTCTTATTCAATGAGAAAATATCGTTCTATATTATAGAGTATCAAACAAAATATTCGCTTCCTAATAAATTGTCACTTATAACATATTACGTTTAAGATATAGAAAGTTGCTGCTCACTGTGAATCTGAAGTCACGAAATCCTCTGCTTCACATCGACAGCTGAACCAGAGAACGACTACTATTCCTCAGTCTCCAAAATGCTCAGATTCTTTGAAGTATAATAACTCTCGATTTCATGTTTGCTAAACAAAACATATCATGTCGTCATTAGCTGTCAATCCTCACTAGTATCACTATTGTTGTTTGGAGACGAGTAAATTTACTTAAACATTTGTCTGCATCCAGCTACAATGAAAAAGGTGTCTATCAGATGTGTACTTTTGCTGATCACATGTTTGTGTATAGCAGGTACTATTCTCCTGTGGTTGTCTAGCAACAAATTCGTTGATCAGTATTCACTGGCCGGTGCAGTTTGTGAGAATCACTACTTCAGAGAGTGTACACAATCTGGAAATCTGTGGCTTAAGTGTGTTGAAGAGTTGAACAGTCTAGTCAGGCGACAGGAGTCAGCTTCAAGAGAAATTATATCAACTTGGCCACCAGGTTCAATTACTCATTTAATTGACAACCGGTTACCAGTATTTAACCTTGCTTTGAAGATTCCGTTTGCGAAAAACGCTGAGAATCCACTTGATAACAGATATTATCGTCAGTACTTAGAGCTCATATCGAACAAAAGTGTTGAGCGTAGTCGGGGCAGTTGGCTAGCAGCTTCTCAGAAGAGATTGGCTAGCGCCGTGCTGAGTTCGTCGGATTATTTTCTGTATCCTCAAACTTTGAATTTCGCTGAGGTTATATCGGATGCTGAGAAGGGGATTCCTATCAAGACAGTAAGTGGTATCTGTAAACAGTGTTTACACTAGTTTGATTCTCAGATTTGTTACTTTTGTAGTCTGATGGGTCTGAGCACTATCACTAAGCTTCTACTCTCTCTAAGTTGATTTTCTGATTGTAACATCATGTTTTCAATGATTTTTGAGACGTCTGTGTATATTGTACTAATCTCCTCATATTTAGGGACTTTATGAGCACAGATTAATCAAATGCATGTGGTGCATTTAAATCTGATAACTTGTAGTTGAGAAATGATTTGGCGGTGTTAATGGGGATATAAATAACTGAATGGCTTCAAATAACGAACTTCATTTCCCTAATCTGAAACACAATGTCCTATATTAGAGAAGGCATTGAAAATTCCCATATGGAATTCTCTAGATTTGGTGCATCTCAGCTCAGTATCCTAAACAGTGCCTCTAGAAATCACTGTGTTTACTTGGAGATAACCTGAGTGAAATCATGTGACATGAAATAACTATAAATTCAGTGTTTTAAGAACTACAAGAGGGAAGAGTTGATAGACTTTTGAATGTGGTAAAAAATATGCTTCTTCAGGTCACTAGCATTGCTCATGGAAGCGTATTACTAATATTTGCTTGGTGTGTGTGGAGCATGTAGCTTCAATTACACATCTTCACTTCAATCTCTCCTCTGTTGTCTTCTTCAGCTGAAGTGACGAGTGACAACATCGTTGTATTTCCTCTGCAGTAAGTGATATCTGTCAACATTGTTCACATTACTTGGATTCTCAGATTAGTTACTTTTTCAGTCTGAATAAGTTGATCACTGACTTTGGATTTAGTTGGTAACATGCACACACTTTGCACTAATAACTCACTTTACAAATATGTGGGCTAGCAGACCAAGTGAACTTCGACTTGAACTGTCGTAATCACATGACACATATTTGAATGGAGAGTTTCGTGTATTAGATCGTTCATCTACAGAAAGTGACAAAAATCTGTTGCGAGAACGAGGTATGCGATTAAGTGAGGGGTCGCTAGCTCCGATATACTTCCTAATACTTCACAAGGTTTAGTATTATGAGCCCCGTATCAAAGTACAAAGACTTACTAATTGAGGGAGACAAGGAAGTTTATAATAATGGAAACCATTAGATACTATGACTGAAGTACCTGTGTTGGAATAGGTAGATTCTATCGCTCTGTCGACTGTCCCTGCCGACTTCATTAGAATGGAGTTATGAAAGAGTGCTAGGATTCCCTTCACAACATGGGGTAATCTTTTCAGGCTCAGCTGTTCCAGGGAGTAGACGTCAATTGCTTGAGGTAACTTAGGCGCACACTTCTGAAGAGTTATGACACCATTTGTTCCCTTGTGTGTACACCTCTCTCGATTAGAGAGACTATGAGATGAACAAACACGAATGATAGGGATCGTGAAGAACGTCTGAAACATCCTCACTAATATTTTGAGGGAGGCTTACAACAGCTGAGTCTGACCCAGTCTCTCGCGAGTAGATTCGCCTCACAGAAGACTGAGTCTCCACATGACTGAAACATGCAGATGGTTGGTGTGTCCAGAAAGTGGACAGCTGAAATGCAACTTTCATCTCCGAAGGAGAATCGTTGCCAACCATGATCGTGTGGTAAGTCATGGTGGGAAAATAGACTGAAATATTCGAATCGAAAAGTAAGCCATAGGTTATAGGTGGCCGACCGGCTAAGCTCGTTTATACGGGAAAGAAAATAACAAAACAAACACAAACTTGTGATAAGGTATATACAGATCTATGTAGATAAATATGGATAGGAATTCAGTCCAAACGAATTGTATACATATGTATGTATATGAAATATAGTTATTTGTTGAATTATGATTGTTGGAAAATACACAAATAAAGTCATGGAGAGTTGAAGTAATGAAGTAGTCCTTTTTGGCATACGGCTGGTCACTCCACGGAAGGGTATGTCAGCTGACGGTGAGGTACTTGCGAAGGGAGAAGGAGGTTGAAGCAAAAAATCCAGACGTGGATGTACGACCGAGAACTGACCAGTGATGATTGGCAATGGAGAGAAACAAAAAGCTGGAGAAGGGGAGTTGCATCGTCCTTTGTGTTTGGTGAACGGGATGGAGTCCTCATTCAGTATATCAGTTAGCACCGATGGTGTGCAGTGAATTCATTGATTTTACTATTTTACAATGGACGTATAATTTGATATTTTCCGGCCTCGACAAGGTGAACACGAACAAACACAAGAATAAAAACACTTTTTATGCAAGATTGGAGAAAATAATGGAGCCAATGAGTAGGTGGGAATATGAATAAACCAGGTTCTCGATATGTCATGTAGGTGACACTCGAATTCACCATTTGTAAGGGACTTGTTATGTTGATGTTATGCTATTCTGCATTAGCCTTACCAAACGCAAAATATGCAAGTACTCATTAATGAGTACTGCTAGATTTGGTTCAGTTTTCTCCTAATAAACCTACTGTAACTTTGCATATACTCTTGAAACTGGTTCGATGGTCTTATTATATGGGAACTTGGATGTTTATTTTACTGACAGTTGGTTTTACTATAGGTTTTTAGATAATAATATTTCAGGTCTTTTCATCTGAACGATGTGTTAAGTTGGTGTCACCAGAATGGAGTGTTGAGAAAGTATATCGCATACTACTTGAACTCACTCATCTGTGTGAAAGCCTGAGGAGAGTTGTCATTTTATATGATGACAATCAGAATTGTTCATCAGTGATGGCCCTTGTTACAGCTTTTCCTGTACCAATGGATTCAATCCTAATTGATTTTATCGACTTAGGACTTGCCGCATTACTAAGTAAAAGTTTTGTCGCCTTAGAATATGCCGATGATATTGTCCTCGTAGTTGTAGACTCTAAAAAGTCGCAGCTGTGTACTATATGACAGTTCATTCTGCCCTTCTTTTTTGACTGTGAAGTGCAACGATTGAGAAAGATGCTAGAAGTTTGACTGTCTGTAACCAGAGATGCTTATATTTTATCTCCCGTATAATGTGGTGGGCAGTACTGAGGCCAGGCGTAGAGTATTAGGTAAAAAGAGCAGATGGAATGACGAGACTGTGAAGATACATCGACAGATGCGGTGAGCGAACATGCTACGCATTAAGTGCTACCGCCTTCTTCGGTAAATAATGTAAGCTGACATAAGATCAGGTATGGGAAGTGTTTCAGATGGTCAAACCAAAAAAAATCGCATCAATCCGTGAATTCTCTGTCTGTTGGTTAGAGCCACGTACGGTAATGAAGACTGTCTAGATGGAGACATCAAAATGCCAAGAACCATTGGCTGGATACAAATGGTGTTATGGCTGGAGGCCGTTTTCAGTGGCACAAATGCATTCCCTCTTTGCAATCTCCCAGATTCTTTAAACCTTCATGTTACTATTGTTTCTCCTTCAACTTTATGCTCATTATAGTCTTTTTGAACTTCTATTTTTGCTTTTGTTTACTTGTGTGTACTACATGGAGTTTGTGAACATGAACTGCTGTACTTTTGTGCAAAAATTCTGTGTTGAGATTCAATCAGTTTCAAGTCAAAAGAAACCGTTGGAACACACCAAACTAAGACCAATTTAGCGGATGTGATATATAAAAAGGGTGCATTTAGTGTAACTGAACAAAAAGAACGCTGGCCTAAATGTATACATCTAACAGTGCAAAAATATGAATTTTAATCCTGAATATAAAACATTTTATTCGTAATGTTTTTACACTCTCAGGAATTTACATTGAGTACTGATGTTTTGCATGCAGGATATTTAGTAATGAAAAATAAAGTAATTTAAATTAAATATGAACTTTACATTTCAGCGGTTATGAGGTGAAAAGTTTGGCAAAGTTTCATGAGCTGTTTGAAAACAAGTGGGTCATGGTGGAGCGCATGTTTGAGCAGAAAGCTAATAGATTCCAATGATCTAGAATCTTTAGATATTGCAAATACATAAAATTGTGTGGGATAAGACGAAAGTTTATTGTAAGAAATACTGTCATATTTTATGGTCTATTTATCCGTTTGTGCTTCTTCTTATGAAAAGGCTGACTGCATTATTATTGTCTTAGGCTCAACCAATCTCACATAAAGTGATGTACATAGTATTCGGTCTGTTTGAATGCACATAGCTTTACACGCCAAAATCTGACCTATGATTGAATTTGCGGATAAAAAATAATAGGTGTTAACTGTTGTGTCATTTGTCTATCTGTCTGTCTGTTTTCGAAATAGAACTTTGCACATATGTGCGGCAGTTCAAGTCGCTACACTCCCTCCTCGTAGCACACAGAGCAACAGAAGAAAGTAGAAGAAATGCATAGTAGAGACAGTAAACAGAGGCGTGAGACAAAGGAATAGTAATAACGAAGAACAATATAGTTTCATTGGAAATCATAAATCACAAGGAGTGGATGCATCTGCGCCAGCCATCGAGAACGATTTTGAGCCATATCACCAATTGTTTCCAAACATCGGTTTTTACCGTCCCGAGGACCCTAACCCGGAAAGCTACAGCTTCCTATGTAGCTGGCTTAAACTAACTGGTTTGGATTTCAATAACTGATGCTATGTTTTGGTTTGACCACCGCTAGCTCTTTTCCAGCCTGACCCTATGTCAGGTAACATTGCCCATTGTCGAGGAAGGCTATGACTGGGTATACGTGTCCTAACCATCTCAGTCGATATAGCTTCACAGCCTCGTCGATTGATTTCCCCTCCTTACCTAGCACTCGACCGACGCCTAACCTCAATATTGCTTACCTTATTATACCACTTCACATGGGAGATAGAGTGCAAGCACCTATGATCAAAGACAGTCAGTCCTTTCATGTCTTCCACTCTCAATGGCCAGGCCTCATTCGCAGCCACGAAGGAGGACGGAGCGGATTGCGGAGCAGTACACCCGCCCTTTGGTCGGTAGCCAGATATCACGTCTACTCCAGAGACGGCATAAACTGGCACATGCGAAACTAGCCCTTTGTATCCGTGCTGAGATTTCGTCGGAGATCAACCCTTTTGGGCTGATGGTACTTCCCAAATAAGTGAAGTGGTCAACGTGCTCTACCACTTCACTCCCTATTTCTAAACTAGGAGTCAGTGTAGTTCAGTTCTGTAACATCATCTTACATTTGGCGGGAGCGAATCGCATGCCAAACATCCGTAGATTGTAGCTCAAGGTATTCAGAAGACCGTGTCTGCATTTTGTCAGCGTCCTCGCCTAGAAGGACTATATCGTCTGTATATTCTATGTCAACAGCAATGATTATAATTATTGCAGGTGGTGATAATGGAAATGATAATGGGAACAATTTAGTAAATAGATTAGGTGAAAATCACAAAATTTACTTAGTACTGAAGATGAATTAGGTAGACAATTATCATAGTTTAAATAAATAGAAATGCTACGAAAGAACTGAAGAATAAGAAAGGGTGAGAACTTTCAATTAGATATACTCAGGTCAAGGGAGAGATCAAAGTAGACCAAACGTCTTTCGTATGCAAACACTATGATCGTGCTTTCGGATTCCCATAGCTTCAACTGTGTGTAGAAGGTGGGTTTGAATCCCATCTGGAAGATTCGATGGGATGCGATAGATAACATTGAAGGAGCTGGGTGATGGCTGTCAATGAAATGAGGCAAAATAGAGCCTCTTGTGGATTTAGGTTGGCCTTTTACGAAGCATGAACGAAGATGCACAGTAATGCATTTGTTGAGCTGTCCAGTAGTGTGCCCTATAAATCTTTCTTCATATGATGTAAATAAAGGTGGCACACCTAGGTAGCTTATCCTACAAAAGTAGTTTTTCTATAAATATATCCTTTGAGTAAAGCATCTTCTATTCTCCTCAGTTAATTACCTAGGAAGTGTAATCTATCTTCTCGTTCTTCTTCACAAGTGAAATTGAGTTGTGGATGTACGTAAACAAATTTTATTAGCATTTTGTTCTCGTCGGCTTTCTCATCAACAATAATAAATGTGTCATTAACATTGGGAAAATAAGAATTCATTTTATTTATCATTTGTTTCGATGGATTATTTTGAAGCTAAGTAGGGAAGAAATCTGTCAAGGTCGGACTTAATGAAGAACCCATGGAAATACCGTCAATCTATTCGTAACATATGTTGCTGAGTGTGAAATGTAAATTCATACGGCGGTTCTTTGAGACAATTAATTGGAATCCCGATATAGATTTGCTTTTCTAGTATTTATTGGAATACGAGTTCTATAGTCTCCAAAAGTGGTACAATGGTGCGACACCTGTGGATAACATCTGCTTCCCATTTACATCTACGTAATGTAAATTAGGAATAAATTCAAAGACACTGTTAACCCTAAGGTATACCATCGTTTTGTGTAGTGGTGGTTACAGGGATCCAACTAACCACTTTGTTACTCCGTGGTAGGTGGACGTAGACATGTTTAGAACTGGGAAAATAAGAAGTCCTGCTTAACTAACTTTAGACAAACCATACAGTCATGATGCATAGCTTCTAATATGTTTAAGAGAATTGCAGGCTGCCTCATAGATCGCTCTTCAGTCCCTTAAACGTATCTGTTAGCTAATTTTTTGTTTAAATCTGTTGAATTGTTAGGCTTTTGGAATTTTGTTTCATCCCTTAAAAGCTAATTCATTTTGTCCACTTACATTTATTAATCTGTACTACCCTTTCCCCTTCATCTAGCTTACTAATTATGCTTCATCGTCCTCTGAGTTTCTCAGGGTTTCTCAGTGCTGTTTAATCAGCTAGCTTTTTTTTAGAATAACCACTGTTTTTATACCGTTGACGAATGTCAACTAGTGTAGTTTTAAACCAAGCCAGTTCTTCGTCTGATGATGGGACCAACTCCTTTGTTTGTAGAAGGAAGTTCTGAAACTGGACATTACTATCAAGTTGACTGATATTATTTCCTTGAACGCAAACCTCAGGAGCCAAAGATAATACCTCCAACTAGAATTTGTCCAGTGTAACGCTGTAAAAATTATGGACAAACCGATACAGGTTTGAGGGATATTCTTTTCACGTTTTTGGCATTCTAAAGATTAGATAATTTTCATTCTCCTTTTATCCACTCTGTCTTGGCTAAGTCAACATAATCAAAGGAATCAGATAATAAAGAAGTTCATCAGTGGAGAACTTCCTCTGTGATAAATCTTTTTTTCTTTATCCGATATATATGAGTTTCTAATAAGTCCTACTGATTAAACATGTGTCGTTTCAATGATTGAGAATTTGGACAAACTTTATCAGGCAGAAGATACTTCCAGTCAATTTTAAGATGTCGATAATTATCTAAACAATCATTTATGGAATTCGAACACGTTTTCGCTTCTGTAAGTCTGACATTATCCCTCAGGCTCTCATAGAATGATCCCCATAGGATTTGCAATCATTGAATACTCTCAATGTTAAAATTAAATCAAGAGACATGAATGAACAATACTGTTTTCAGTTAGATTTTTTTTTCAGGCTTTACACCAATGTATATAGCTTTATGCATAAAAATTTGACCAATGGTGGCGAGTTTGTGAATCAAAAATTATAGACGTCTTCAAGGTTATCTATTGCATCCCATCGAATCTTCCAGATGGGATTCAAACCCACCTTCTACACACAGTTGAAGCTATGGGAATCCGAAAGCACGATCATAGTGTTTGCATACGAAAGACGTTTGGTCTACTTTGATCTCTCCCTTGACCTGAGTATATCTAATTAGAGGTTCTCACCCTTTCTTATTCTTCAGTTCTTTCGTAGCATTTCTATTTATTTAAACTATGATAATTGTCTACCCAATTCATCTTCAGTACTAAGTAAATTTTGTGATTTTCACCTTATCTATTCACTGAATTGTCTTCATTATCCTGCTACCTTTATTATTTTTATCGTGATTTGCATCCGCCATTGATTTATTTATTCCAGACTTGTTTGTATGTTGGAGAAATATAAGTGTAACGCACACAGATGAATGATACAGATATGTGTTTTGTTATGTGAAATACTAGTAGTATCTATGTTCTGTTATAAATTCAGCATTTTCTAGTTGCGTCACACACCGATGAACAACTATGGCTGATTTTATTTTTCCAGCTGCCAATAAACAATCCAGAACTGTTCGTCATTCGATCACCAAAACGTACATGCAATCCATGCCAGAAAGAAATTGTGCCAGATCTAGTCGTCGTCATCAAATCCTGCACATACTGTACCGAAAAACGTTCACGTGTGCGACAGACATTTATGCAGAAACACTTGTGGACAGGCATCAATGTCCAGTTCGTCTTTGTTGTAGGCATACCATATCCTGGTGAGTCAAACATATTTGTAATCGATGGATATAAACACAGACTGAAACACTTTTGGTGGAAATCATCGAAGAAGCATGATAATGAGAAGTGGACATTCATGAAACGACTTGTTAGAGAGGCTGATCAATACGAAGATCTTCTGGTTGGCTTTTTTCATGACACATACTTCAACTTGACTACGAAGCTGATATTTACTGTGCGTTGGCTATCAGCATTTTGTTCTGAACAGATTCCATTGTTCCTTTTCGTTGATGATGATTATGATTTGGTTCCGAGGAATGTTGTAAAGTTCTACAGGAGTCATTCGAAGGAATATCTGAGGAGTTTGACTGGTGGGCAAGTGTATTCACCATCTATTGTATACAGGCCACAATCAAGAGAAGAGATTAACGGTGTGTGGGAAGTAACTGTCAATGAATTTCCATGGAAATTATATCCTGAATTTTACTTTGGATTAACATATCTTTTGGGTTCAAGTATTGTAAAGCGTGTGGCTATCGCCAGTGCTTTTACTAAACCTATGCGTATTGATGACGCCTTTCTTGGTATAGTATTGAACAAACTGAATATTAAACTCCGACATTTAGATGTTATTCAAATCAGTGCACATGAACGTGAAGTATTATTAGGTGCTATCAATGTACCGTCTGGAACAAGCAAGAATATAATCAACTGGAAAACAGGGTTTTTGAAGTGAAAAACACACTGATTGCATAATGACCGTTGTTTATCATATTTTTCTGCCTGTTCCATATGAAATCATACATCACGAAGTTATGATTGGTTTTCACTCAAGTTTGTTGAGTGTCTGATAGTCAGTTATTGTCCGAGAATGAAAAGTTATTCACACTGGAAACGATTTCTAAGTATGAACTCTTTTGCTTGACTTTTATTCAGTTGCTTTTAAATGTACTTTAGAATCAATTTTTTCACATAAACATTACATAATGAAATATACTTGGACACCACTGTTCTTCTAGTTCCAAGGAATTTTCATTGCATGTTTAGTGACAAGTTTTTATTAACATCGTTGTCTGTCCCATTTAACTATGCAGGAAATTGTAATTTTATATGCTTATCAATTGATGTAGAGAAACTACACTCTTTTGAATTACTGTCCTATACCTTTGTATGTATCTTGCAGCTTCAACTTTATTTACCTTAAGGTACCTTTGAGGTATTAGTTCACAGTTATTTATCTTCTGTAGACTGAAATAATTTTAGTAACAAGTAAATTCTTCATTTCATATTCCTGTTTGTGGAAAGTTGAAGCACTCTGGTAGATGCATGGAAGTAGATAACTTGCAGTACCGTATAATGGTGGAAGTATTAATGTGTTTTGATCAAGATACATCACCAAGCTAACCTGATGTTAGAAGCCTCTTTGACTGTGCAATTGATAGTCAAGTCATTTTTCAGTATGTCGGCTATGCAGCGGAAAGTCGATAATATTCGGTAACCTTGAAATTTCCAAAAGGTTGTAACTTAATGAATTTACGTGTCTTCTGATGAGTTTTTAACCACATTTTTTGTAGATTAACTGGTATTTCTAAAATGTCGTATCAAGGATATAACTGACAAAAAATGGTGTTACGTAGCTGTTTCAATTCTAAGTTTTTGTTTTCCATTATTATGGATGTTCGGAAGCTTAATTATCCTCATATTACAAAAGTTGTGTATACACAGTGATAAGTATTTGGAATGTGATAATATTTCGAGCAAAAATCACGTTAATAGTTCTTCGGAAACTCGTCACTCTTGTGTGAATGTTTTTTTTAGACTTTCCAATGGTTTGTGTGTATTCGGTGCGGAAATATGAACAGACGATTTTTTTTTCAGAAGCTTGATGCCACGCGAAGTAGTAATAAGAGTGTGATTTTTATGAAAGCTACTCAAAGTGATATTGTTCAGAAGACAAAATACTCTATAATTATTACAATATCATTTTAGATGAGCTCTTATAAGTCAGTTTCTGTTCTTAAATGCTGCCAAGAATCTCCCTTCCTATTTAATTAGCGAAATAGAACAACTAGATGTGAGGAAGGTATATCTGATGAAGACACCTATGGATAAAAGTTATACACAGTTGAATCTATTGAACCCTCGAATTCCTGCAGATTACCGGCCAATGAAAACTCAGTGTTTTAATGCGGTACAATGACCTCTTCTGTTCCTTTTTCTGTAGTTAGTAATTCAGATCAAGTCTAAAAGTATGATTATATTCATGCTAATATTCCTAGAGGACAATTAGTGTTATGCAACATCAACTTTTATGCAAACTAAGAAGTTTAACCAGTGAACCAGTTGACATTTTAATATTTGTAGTTGACAGTTTCTTTTAGTTACCTGAGTGATTATTGTACAATCCTCTTATCCTTCAGTTGGTTAGGGAACTTCTGAGAAGAGTTAGTCGAAGAATGCCATGGCACTCAAAAGCATGAAGTGACTATCTGAAAAAACCACAAATTTTTATTAGATTAGATTATATGAGGCGTCAGTGCCATAGCGGTTAGGACGCTCGCCGACTATGCATATGGTCCGGGGTTCGATCCCCGGCCGACGAACTCCTTTACCTCGCTAAGCCAGAAATAATGCTAGTAAAGAGGAAAGGTTGAGCATGAGGCTAGCAACCCCATCCTGTTACAGAAACTACAAGCCACTAGCTTGAAGCCCTATATTCCACTGGGGAATGTGAAGGAAAAAAAGATTATATGAGAAATTACCAACTGATATATAATACTGGTTACTGCATTCTACTTCCAGTGAGCCTTATTACTCATAATTTTACCCTGACAGTTTCATAGTTTTCTGCTTTGATACACATATTCATGCTTTCTGTAGTGAATTCTAACTTCCACTTTACTATTATCATCCTTAGGACTGTTAATTTATCTCACAATACTAAGCTAATTTCTGCTACTAATCGAATAACAGTGGCCAATTTTTTCGTCCACATTAGTTAATTTCATAATATTCCTACGATTAAAAAAAATGACCTGCTGCAGGAAAGGCAAGCATTCTTACAAGACTTTGGAACAAACTTCACTGTCATTACTATTGAAACAACAGAAGACAAGGGCCAGCCAAACAGATCGTTTATTAATGAAATCAACACAAATTTATAGATTTTCATGTATATATTATAGATTATTGTTAGCAGAAAAACACAGTCCTCTGATTGGTCATTTCTCACAAAAAGTTAACCATGCATCTCTTTGTGAATGTTTCGTGAATGTCAGATTTTCTGTATGTTAACTGTATCCGCCTGCGCAAAGCCTTTGTTCTCATTTTTCTCACGACCAATACTGGGGACATAAACATTGACGTAAATTACTGTCCACCAACTTTGGCTGACAGCCAGCTTTCACCACACTATTGCATTGGCTTCCGATTGGAATATAGGGCTAAAAAAGCACATCTTCATATCACTCTCTCCTCTGCTGTCCTTCTCGGTTGACCATAAGTTAACATCACCTCATGCGACATCTCCCATGTTACCATTGTATTACCAACTGGTCGTTTTTCATTCGGATTCGACTCGTGAACTGTTGCGCGTTATCGCTCAACGGTCTTCTTCGAGTGTGTCGGACTCATGTGCACTTCAGTTGGAATATTTATTGGGCAATAGGTTCTCGGTTGAACTGTCACCAGAGTTCCATGTTGCTGATCCTTTCTGGTCATCTGATCTTTATTAGTGAATCAGGGCAGTTGTTGATGAAAGTTTGCAGCAGTCAGTTGGAATTGCTTCTAGTGACTTGAACACTAAGTCTCTGAATCATACAAAAGAACTAAATGAGATGATATTAGTGATGACGATTTGAATCAACTGTGTTATTTACTCCATTCATTTGCTCATGCTTTTACTCTAACAAAATAACGAGAATAGTTGATCCACTGCCTTAAACTTAGAATTTCTAAAATGCCGTAGTATTGAAGAAGTTTTCCAATTACTTTATGGCCTTTGCCTTTTCAGAGGTTGACATTTGACAGTCGTTCCATGTTCTGTTCTTTGATGATGCACAGCGTTGCAGATTGATGCATACACAACTTGTTTTTCCTCACTCCAAGTTTTCTTGGGTAGCGTTTCGTATCCAGAACGACTTAATATTTCGTCTGAATAGGAAAGCAGCACGATTCCTCACCATTTCTTGCAAAGGCTGAAGTAGCCATTTCTTGGTAGTTTGGTGTGGTAGCCTTTCACACAATTTTTGAGTACATTTCGTCCTTTCTAATACTTCTGAAAAAGGGAAGTGAGAGTATATGTTATGGTCTTTAAATCTATTTCAGTAATCCTGTGGGAATTTCGTTTGATTCTGCTGCCTCCCCGACTGGCTTACAGCAACGTTACAGAATTCAAGACTTCTGCTTCCGTCAAATGACTGCTGTTCTGTGACATTTCTGCAGTTGTTGGTGGTATTTCCGGACGAGTCGTAGGTGTCAGTCCATTCAGCAGTCGTTTGAAGTGATCAGCTATGGCAACAAGGTTCTCGTCATTATCTTCCATTTCTCTTATTTGTGTCGATCCCTTCCCAGATAGTGAAGTGTTCATCCTGTAGGGAGGTTTGAGATCCCTTTTACCCGTGGCCTGTTTTTCATTAGGTGCCGGTATGTCGAAAAATTGTCTTTTATCTTAGTAAACGTTGAACGCCCAATGACCTAAAAGTGTGGGATAAATTAACAATAAGGGTGGGCAGCACAATATTTTGGTGGGCACAGTTTCACTGTAATTGTGGTAAAACTGAAAAGCATTCAAAAATAAGATTTAGGTAGACAAAAATTATAAATGAAGGCTATAATTATGTTAAAATTGACTTTCAGCAAGCATCACTTTGTCATTCTTGTTTATTCCTTTCCAATTCATTATAACAGCTTTCTTTGTGTTCAAGTTGTACTACTTATTAATGGTAAGTGTACATCGTTTTTCCGCAACCATAATTGTTTACGGAGAAATTTATGTCAGTTAGTATCACAACATACTATTCGGTCTGTAGTAATTATTCTTACATTGTTAAGCAGTAATAGTCTTGCGTTAAATCCCTCTAAATATCAGACAGCTAAATTCATTTTCACGCATATGCGTGGCCTATACTAACTTGTTCCTTCACAAGATGCTCGTAGCTTGGAGGGCACTGCAATAAAAACCAAGTCAAGCATGAAATACCTTAAAATAGTTTTATCTTCTGATCTTTCTTGGTCACGCCATGTCTCGTCGATTTCTAAGATAATGTTTCTTCTAACCTCCCATATTAAGAGGTTAAGACAATCAGGAATCACTCAACCTCTAGTTTTACAGTTGGTTAACTCTTCCATCTTGCATATTGTTTTTTATCGCTCTCCCTTGGTCCTTCCTGGACTTCTCAAATAGGGCTGCATCATACTGTGAGGGGATATTAAAGGTTGTCAGTAGGGCAAGTGGTGTTCCACTAAGTTGGCTCGCCACTACTGTGGTTGAGTGATTCCTGAACTCATGTGAGAATCTGTCTATATCCATATTGTCTGGCTCTTAACAGCTTTTCCCGTGAATGTCATCAGGTAGGACTAGAGGCCATTCATAAGTATTATATGGTAGCACAACTAAGCACAAAAACTCAGCGATGTCTCATTTATCCCATGTTCTATGTGATAGAGATAATGCTAAGTGTGAAACTTACAGCTTATTATGTAATTAGCAAAGTAAACGGCTCTTTTACCTTCTCT